GGAATCCCAGGGGAAACAGCGATGGTTGAAACGAATGGGGAATCCACCCCTAGAATGTTAGGTACCCTTAAGGAAATGGACCTCAATTTGGGTGTGGCTCAAAATTAAACCACCAGGACCAAAACCGCAGGTTTTGGTCCATGTTGCCACTTACCAGGCTTCCCATTTTGGCTACCTATTTTTGACCCACAGCCAAGTGAGACTGTCCCCTCAAAAGTGGAATGGAAGTGAGAATGGACCTAAGAGGTCTCTTTTGGACCTGAAGTGAGAAGGTCAACCGAAAAGTTGCTTTCATTGGTTTCAACAGGTCTCAACAGGTTTCAACCAAAACCTTGGTTTCAATGGCAAGGTTCCTTCAACAGGGATTCCCCCATTTCCTCCCCATTTTTGTTGGACCTCAAGTGGCATGTTCAACCAACAACACGCCTTTGTCGCAGCAGGTATCAATATTGTTTTATGCAAACATGATAGCAACGCTTCTGGATGTGACGCTGACATTCATGTGGATTTGCTCGCAAATTTCGGAAAGCTGCAGCCCACTCGAAAAGGCTGCAGTCGTGTTTACTGGGTGCCAGTAAAGACCCTCCAAAGGATTTGCCTTTCAAAAGGATGGGCGTTGTTTGTCCTTTGCTTCATCTTAAAAAAGGGGATTCCCGAAGTGGCCAACCCAGTTGCCACTCAACCTCCAATTGACTAAGAACCTTGGGTTTTTTTTGACTTGCGCCTTCCAAGCAGCCAAAACTCACAGATGAGATTTCGCTATTTGGCTATTTGGCTATGAATTTGAAAGCCTTTCTATCAGGTTGGGCATCAAGAACCGTGGCAGACTTCCCACTAAAAGGGGACCACCCCAATAAACATCTCGCGGTTTCTTTTACTATCAGGGGTATTGCCACGGTTTTGCTCTGATTTGAGCTTTTTGTTTGTGGTTTTAAAGGGAAACCAAAATGGAACACCACCCCAGCGCCAGTTTGGGGAGGCTCCCACCCCAAAAACGACAACTCAGCCATTTCGCTTGCGCGGTCAACCGGTTTGAAGCGCTCGCGAGAGGAGCAGATGCGGCAGGTGCATTTGTGGTCCCAGGAGCTGTCGCAGCCACAGCCGAGTCAGCTGAAGGTCTTGGAGCTTTGCCTCCCCGGCATGCCGCGACTCGAAGTGGTTGGATCTGGCTGGTGGGTTGGATCCGGTGCTGGTCGAGGCACCGGTCTTGGTGGATGTCAGAGGGGGGTCCCCCTGTAGGGCTTGGGGGCTTGGTGGATGTCAGAGGGGGCCCGAGGGCCGAGGCAAAGGGTTTAGTGGATTGTTATTTTCATTTTTCGGTTTGTCAGGCCAATCCCCAGTTTGCGCAAAAATGAGGCGAGTTTGTTCGGGAGTTGGGAGTTGGGAGTTGGGACCCGCGAAGATCATTTGTTGAGTTCCTTTCCACTCGGCTTCCCCTCTGCCTCTCAGAATCCCAAGCTACTAAGAAAGTTCCACAGCCTGGCCTGCTTCTGCTTCAGGCTGGGATTCACAATTCGGGTGCGTCTTGTTCTAGGAAAAAGAAAAACACAAAAAAAATCCCTGTACACCATTTGGGTGTTTCCGTTTTTTAGGGGACACCCCCCCAGGAGAAAAGAAGAGGCTTCAGTTTTCCTTGTGGTTTCCCTTTAGAACCACCAACAAAAAAGGGCTGCCC